CTTTTTTGTTTTCTCACATTATTTTGCAGGTAGAGAGACATATTTCACTCCTCATAGCATTGGGCAGGCTCACGACCAGAGACTGGATAGGCTGCACGCCGCCACACCGCTACATGGTGGCTTCCTCACCGCCTGTTCGGACCCCTCGGCCCAGAGCTGTTGTTTGGCTTCGACCGGACACTACTTAGGTCAAGCTGAACACTGATGGCTCTTTTGATCGCCATACCAGAGCTGCCGGAGGAGGAGGCTTGATCCGGGACCACAGCGGTGCCCTCATCACCGCCTTCCACGCGCCCCTTCAGGCCTCATCGAGATACGACGCAGAGAATCAGGCATTATAGATTATCCTTCAGATTGTTGTCAACTTCTCTAGTCATATTTGGATCGAATTGGACGCTGCGGCTGTCGCCACCCTCCTGACTTCGGGTCACCAGGGCTCGTGGCAGATTCGGCACCCGCTTATGCACATTAGAGCTCTACTTCGGCCTGTCCATCACAGGATCACGCACATTATAACCCTCTTCACCTCTGACAGAGGGTCTCTCGTTGCCCCGACCGTCTCTTTCTTCCCTACCATCCCTCCTTCGGTCGACCTTGTCGACCTCTGTGAGCTTCCGAGCAGGGAAGAGGTTAGGGATGCTGTTTTTGGGATTGATCCCAACAGCGTTTCTGGCCCCGATGGATTCTCTTCCCTCTTCTATCAGGTCTGCTGGGATATAGTCGAGTCTGATGTTGAGGAGGCGGTATTGGATTTCTTCACCGGTCACCGGATGCCGGATTCCTTCACGGCTACCTCTGTCGTCTTGATTCCCAAAAGAACCAATCCGAGCTCTTGGTCCGATTACAGGCCCATCAGCCTGTGTAACGTGACCAATAAGCTTATTTCAAAAATTCTTAACGACCGTCTTTCCCCTATTCTCCCCTCCCTCATCTCTCCGAACCAGAGTGGCTTCGTCAAAGATCGGGTCATTAGTGATAACATACTTTTGGCCCAGGAGATGATCCACGATATCTCCCATGCAGACTGGAAGCGGGCACCGAACATTGTGCTGAAGCTAGACATGGCTAAAGCGTATGATAGAGTGGAGTGGCCGTTTCTTAGGGAGGCACTGGCTAGGATGGGATTCCCAGAGCGATGGATCAACTTTGTAGAGGCGTGCGTGGAGCATTGCACGTTCTCTGTCTTGGTTAATGGCAGCCCCACAGATTTTTTTCCCGCATCTAGAGGCCTTAGACAAGGAGACCCCCTTTCCCCATCCCTTTTTGTTCTTGCAGCGGACTACCTCTTTCGCTGCCTCGACGGCTTTATCCGCGACTATCCTCAGATGACATATAGCACCCGTGGCTATGGTCCCCCCATCTCGCACCTATCTTATGCGGATGACATCATCATCTTCACTCGTGGCGGACGATGATGGGCTGATCGAGCTTATGCACCTTCTGGAGCATTATAGCTTGGTTACTGGCCAGCTGATCAGTGTGGAGAAGAGCACCTTCACCCTTTCCTCCTCCAGCGCGTACAGGTGGGCTCAACGAGTCCACGAGATCACTGGCTTTGCGCACACCGACCTTCCCATTACCTACCTTGGTGCCCCTTTATATAAGGGCAACCTCCCGAGAGCGCTCTTCGCGGGCATCAGGCAGAGGATGATCAATAGTATTTCTGGTTGGTCGCATAGACATCTTTCTTTTGGTGGTCGGCTTGCTCTGATCAAGAGCACCCTTAGCTCCCTTCCGATTCATTTACTTATGGTCCTCGACCCCCTTAGGTCCACGCTTGACGAGATTGACCAGATCATGGCTCGTTATTTCTGGGGTTACGAGAATGGTTCGGGGAGGGGGAGACGTACCCACTGGGTGAGTTGGGACTCTATCTGCCGCCCTCTCCTTGAGGGTGGCCTTGGCATCCGTCACCTTAGGGATATTGTTACTGCCTTCTCATACAAGCTGTGGTGGCGCTTCAGGGAAGGAAAGTCGCTTTGGGCCCAGTACCTTCGCGGCAAGTACTGCTCTAGACGCGCCAACCACCCTTGTTGGGTGACGGCGGTTGCGCATGATAGCAGACAGTGGCGGCGCCTTACTAGGGTTGGTAGGCGCGCCCAGGATCACATTTTTTGGGTTTTGGGGGATGGCGAGGTTAGTTTCTAGGATGAGTGGTGGTTAGGTGATAGGCCGTTGTCTAGAGATAGACAGGTGTCGCATTCCCCCTACCTGCTTGTGCGCGACCTTTGGACGGACGGGTCGTGGGATAGGGGGAAGCTTGATAGAGAGTTGGGCTCCGGGACGGGTTTTAGTGAGCAGTTATTAGATCAGATCCAGCAGATACCCATCTCGGGGGACGGTTCGGATGGTATGAGGTGGAGACTTACATCATCGGGTGTGTTCTCTACTACCTCGGCTTGGGAGCAGATCAGGCTGAGAGATTGGCCGAATCTTCTCCTCGGAGCCATCTGGAGCGACCTTTTCACCCCTACCATATCTGTCTTCCTTTGGCGCCTCCTCTTGCGCCGGATACCCGTGGATACTGTGTTACATGCTAGGGGGATCTCCTTCCCCTCCTGATGTGTATGTTGTTCTGAGACCGGACGTCATGAGACCGAGACCTTTACCCACCTTTTTCTAGAGAGTTAGATTGTGAGGAGAGTGTGGGAGCATTTTGCTACTTGGACTCATATATCCCTACCCTCCACAGACAGTTTTTTTGAGCTCCTGAGTTATTTCTCACAAAGCACACACTTTAGACACGTGAGCTTCCTCATTCCTTGTCTGATCCTTTGGTTCACCTGGACGGAAAGGAATAGTGCGAAGCATAGGGATATTACTTTCTTGCTTTCTCACATTGTTTTGCAGGTGGAGAGACACATTTCGCTCCTCACAGCGTTGGGCAGGCTTTCTGCACGTGACTGGACAGGCTGCACGCCACCGCACCGCTACAGGGTGGCTCCCCCTCCGCCTGTTCGGTCCCCTCGGCCCAGAACTGTTGTTTGGCTTCGACCCGACTCTCCTTGGGTCAAGCTGAACACCGATGGATATTTCAATCGCCATAGCGGTACTGCCGGAGGAGGAGGCTTGATACGGGACCACAGTGGAGCTCTTATCACCGCCTTCCACACATCCCTTCAGGCATCCTCGAGCTACGATTCAGAGATTCAGGCATTACAGATTGGTCTTCAGATTGCTGCCGACCTCTCTAGTCATATTTGGATTGAGCTGGACGCTGCGGCTGTTGTCACCCTTCTGGTCTCGGGTCATCAGGGCTCGTGGCAGAATCAGAACCCACTTATGCGCATTAGAGATCTACTTCGGCCTGTCCATTACAGGATCATACACATCTTCCGTGAGGGGAACAGACCTGCTGATTACCTTGCCAGTCTTGGCGCTACCATACCAGACACGAACAGGTATCAGACCTCCACTGCTTCACTCCGTCTTCGCTTGCTAGTTCGGATGGATCAGCTGGGATATCCATCGTTTCGATTCCAGTAGAGTAGGTTTCTGGTTTTTCTTCTTAGACCATCCATTTATTCCGGGCACCTGTTAGCCCGATGACAGACCTTGTTCTATTTTCATTTTCTTTTTTTGTTTCTGTTTGGATTGTGAGACTATGTTGACATTTTGGGCCCCAGTTTCCGGGTCTTGATCTATGTACAGGTTGGGGATCCTGCCCAATCCCCCACCCTTCCGAGGCGTTGTTTGTAAAAAAAAAACTAGCAACTACAGAGAACTAACCTAATTGGAAGGTTAGTTGTCAACGGTCAACACCGGAGTCAATGCCAGAAGTCCACGGCGAACGCCGGAAGTCAACGGTCAACGTTGGAAGTCAACGGTCAATGCTGGAGTCAACAGGTCAAAATATTATTTAAATAATTAAAATAATAAAAAGAAAAGAGTAAATCTTGGCCACACATGATGTACCAAATCTTGTGGCTGAAAATGAGTCTCACGTCCTCACTTTAAATAAGTGGATGCATCGGAACCAATCCCTATAAAGATCAAATAAATATATACTAGTTAATGTTCAAATTTTCATTTGATTAAAGATCAAATAAATTTTATGTACGAGAGATAAGTTTGATGAGAGGTAACCTTTCATTTTCAGGTCAAATTGTTCCGCCACTCCACTATTTCTACAGCTAATATTATATATATATATATATATATATATGTTTCAGATCAAATAAAAAGGGATGAAATAATATCGTTTTAATTCCAGCTCAAATGATGTCGATAACACGCTACCTTTTGGTTAATAAGTAGAGTTATTGATGGAGACGAGGCCGCATTGACATATTTGCAGAAATATGACCGTTTACATGTCGAGCATATTTATTTTTATTGCTTTATTTCTCTTTTGGATTATTTTCTACTAGTAGTTGCAGTTGTGTCATTTTTATTAGTTCAGGGGTGTTTAGTTAATTATTAAGACTTATCATTTTAGGAAGTAGAGTTAGTGGAAACTCTTTATTTATGTACTGGGAACAGAAGAAAAAACTGATCAGCGTTGAAATAAAAATTATATGTCCTTCTTGTGAGTCCGTATTTCTCCCTTCATATACATCCTATACATCAGTTGGTATCAGCAGACCAGCTGACGATCCACGATGCCGCCAAAGAGAGACAAAGTCGTGAACGACAACTCCGTTGATGAACGATTTCAGAGAGTGGATGAGCGATTTAACGGTTTTGACAAACGATTTACGGATCTCTCGACGGGGTTCGAGGAGCTACGACTGACGATGGGCACCATGATGGATGTGATGCGTCGAAATTGCGACGTGGCTGACCAGGGCACTCGCGAGGGACACCGCGGTGGTCGAGGGGGTCAGGGTTTTGGCGGGGCGTCCCGCCAACGATCGCTTCCACCACCGCCAACCGGTGATGACTCCGACGACACTTGGACGGTTCACAATCCTTTCGCCGACGGGATACACAAGCAGGGCAGAACTCCTGGGTTCGGATTTCGCGACGGCAGATTAGGGTTTCGCAGACAAAGTGACAGTGGGTTTGGGTTCGCGCCAGGGTGGCGTGACGGAAGAGAGGGACGCCGCCTGCGGGGTCCATGGCGTGCCGGAGTTGAGCAGGAGGACGACGGAATTTTCTATCAAGAGGGGCCTATGTCCGACGATAATGCATTCGAGGAGGACGTCGGCAACTTTCGAGGAGGTCGCGGGCCTGCGGCAAAAACAGGTTTTTGCCGACACCATCGATTTGATTACAGAAATGGCGAGGACAAGTCGTGGCAGCAGCGGCGTGAGGGTCGGCGCCCGATAAATGGTGGCAAAGACTCACGCTAGGAGTCAGGATTTTGGGTTGACATTCTGGAATTTCATGGTAGTGTTGAACCAGGGTGATTTTGTGGATTGGTGAGCCGCCGTGGAATCGGTGTTGGCATTTAAAGCAGTCCCAGAGGAAAAGCGAGTTGCCCTCGTTGCTACTCGATTCCGTGGTCGAGCTGCGACTTGGTGGATGCACATTACTAGCATGCGGCATCGTCAAGGGAAGTCCCCGACTATTTCTTGGATGAAATTTCGTAAGTATGTGGAGGATATGTTTATGCCTTTCAATTATGATAGTTTCGTTTTATCAGCAGTTGCATAATTTGAGACAGGGAAATCGTTCGGTATGAATATACGAGTGGGTTTTATCAGCTCTTGAATCGTGTTGAGGTACGGGAGACAAAGTCCCAGTTAATTTCACGATATGTCAGTGGGTTGAGAGTTGCCATACAGGACATGCTCAATCTTGTCCGGCCAGAGTCTGTCTCGGATGCACATCAACGAGCCCGACTTATCGAACTACAGTTGGCTCGCAAGTCCAGCAATCTTTTTCCCTCATCTACGAGGGTCGGGCCGTTGTTTGGCGGGCCTCCAGCACTGAACCGCGCGACTCCTTCAGCGGGAACCGGAGCAGGGCAGTCTACAACCGTCGGGAGGTTTCTAATGGCAGGGAGTGGACAGCCACGGCCGGCGACAATACCAACGGGCCAGTGTACGGGAGGCGGCCTTGAGGATCGCGGGGAACATGAGGAGACTGCCGATTACGAGTGACCACCAGTTTTTGATGTCGATCCTGGCTTGAGTGAGGAACACCATCGCGGGGATGTGGGCATGACATTGGTTCTTCTTCGCACGTGCTGGACACCTCGTTCGCCTGTTGGTAGGGCCATCGAGCGACACCACATTTTTTAGCCGACCTGCACCATTGGCGACAAAGTTTGCCATTTTATTATAGACTCTGGTTCTTGCAAAAATGTCGTAGCACAGGAGGCTATTGATAAATTGAAATTGTCAAGCGAGCCACATCTTCACCCTTACACGTTGGCATGGATTCATCGGGATCGTGCTATTATAGTTGACCGTCGGGCTTTGGTTTCTTTATCGATTGGTGTGACGTACCGAGACCAAGTGTGGTGCGATGTGGTTCCAATGGATGCATGCCACTTGCTACTCGATCGACCTTGCCACTCGCTACACTCTAGTCCTCATCGTTCTACACCATCGCCGACTCCGTCGAATGTTTTTTTCGTTTCTCGAGCGGCCTTCGGGGTCGAAATGAAGTCGGCGCAGTTTGTTCTGTTGCTTGTTGGTTCAGACACTACAGTCGAGCAGGAGCCTCCTGCGTCCATTCAGCCGTTGCTTTCAGAGTTCGCTGATGTTTTTCCTCCCGAGCTTCCTTCCAGACGTCCACCCCCTACGAGACATTCAACACCACATTGATCTGGTTCCAAGGGCTTCACTGCCGAACAGGCCACACTACCGTATAAGCCCAACCGAACATGAAGAATTACGGAGGCAGGTGGAGGAGCTAATCCACCATGGCTTGGTTCGTCGGAGCCTGAGCCCGTGTGCAGTTCCAGCCCTCTTGGTTCCCAAGAAAGACAGCTCCTGGCGCATGTGTGTGGATAGCCGTGCGATCAATAGGATCACGGTCCGTTACCCTTTTTTGATTCCTCGGTTAGATGACTTATTAGACCAACTTCACGGGGCCACAATCTTCACCAAAATTGATCTCCGTAGCGGGTACCACCAGATTCGGATCCGATCTGGCGATGAGTGAAAGACGGCCTTTAAAATTCGGTAGGGGCTCTTCGAGTGGATTGTCATGCCATTCGGCTTGTCAAATGCGCCGAGCACTTTTATGAGAGTGATTAACCCGGCTCTTCGGGACCTTATTGGGAAGAGTGTCGTCATTTATTTCCACGATATTCTCATTTACAGTCGCACATTGGATGAGCACTTACAGCACGTCCGGGAGGTACTTCTTATTTTACGTACTGAATCTTTTTTTGCTGCTCCTCGTAAATGCTGCTTCTTGGTGGAGTCTATTTTGTTTTTGGGTTTTGTGATCTTGGGTGAGGGGATCCGTGTTGACTAGGGTAAGGTGGCAGCCATTCGCGATTGGCCGACTCCGACATCTTTCACGGAGGCATGTAGCTTTCACGGCCTTGCATCATTCTACCACTACTTCATCTCACATTTCAGTACTATCACGGTACCAATTACTGACTGCCTCTCGGATAAATATTTTGTGTGGACGCCGGAAGTGGAGGCTGCTTTGCTCTGATTAAGAACAGGCTAACATCTGCTCCTGTTCTCGTGTTACCAGATTTTTCGAGGCCGTTCGAGCTTTCTTGTGATGCCTCCAAGGTGGGGATTGGCGCTGTCCTCAGTCAGGACGGTCGACCAGTCTCTTATTTTAGTGAGAAGTTATCAGGGCCATGGTTGAGGTACAGTACCTACGATGTCGAGTTTTATGCAGTCGTTCAGGCAGTCCGACATTGGCGTCACTATCTGTTTCATAGGGAATTATTCTCTTCACGGACCATGAAGATTTACGTCATTTGGCATCCCAGGATACTATCTCTACCCACCATGCTTCTTGGACGGCCTTTCTGTAGCAGTTTACGTTTGTCCTTCGACATAGGTCCGGTGCTCTGAACCGGGTGGCCGATGCCTTGAGTCGGCACACGCTTTTATTGTCCGATATGCGCACTTCGGTCGTGGGGTTCGATGTCTTGCGCGAGGTTTATGTTGATGATTCTTTTTTTGGACCGATTGTGAGCCGCCTCGCGACGGATCCTTTTGAGGACTACACGCTGGCTGATGGGTTCCTATTTCGAGGGCTTCGACTGTGCATCCCAGATTGTAGCCTTCGGCTAAAGCTCATTTTGGACCTCCATGGTTCCGGTCATGTTGGTCGGGACCGTTCGGTGGAGTTGGTTCGTCGACCATATTTTTGGTCGACCCTCCGCGTGATGTGACGCACTATGTGGAGTGCTGTCGGGTTTGTCACGTGGCAAAGGGTGTTACTTCGGATGCCGCCATTTGCCTATTCCTTCGCAGCCCTGGTGTGCAGTTAGTATGGATTTTGTGTTGGGTTTGCCTCGTACACAATGAGGCTCTGACTCTATCTTTGTGGTCATTGATCGGTTCTCGAAGATGGTGCATTTTATCCCGTGTAAGCGCACCACCGATGCGATTCATGTGGCTCAACTTTTCTTTCACGAGGTTTACCGTCTGCATGGCCTTCCGTCTTCGATTGTCTCAGATCGTGATACTCGGTTTCTGAGTCACTTCTGGTGCAGCTTATGGCGCATGGCAAACACTAGCTTGGATTTTAGCAATGCGTATCATCCACAGATGGATGGGCAGACCGAAGTGGTGAACCGCTCGCTCAACAACTTGCTTCGTTTTTTGTGGGTGATAACCTTCGTAGTTGGGACCAGTGTTTTAGCCAGGCCGAGTTCGCACATAACTCGGCCGTAAATCGTGCCACTGGCTATTCGTCCTTTGAGGTCGTTTATGCGGTTCGCCCCCGTGGGCCGTCCCGTTTATTGGTCCTACCATCGATGGCTTCGGCGCGGGCGATGGATTTGATCGCCGAGTTGCAGTCCACCAACGAGAAGACCCGGGCTCGCCTGGAGGCCACCACCGCGGCCTATAAGCGTCAGGTAGACGCTCGACGGAGACACGTGGAGTTCGAGGTAGGTGACTATGTTTGGGTTGTCTTGACAAAGGACCGGTTTATGGCTCATGAGTATAATAAGTTATCTGCCCAGAAGATTGGTCCGGTCGAGGTGATTGAGAAGATCAACCCCAATGCCTACCGTCTACACTTGTTGTCTCATCTTCGCACTTCTGACGTTTTTAACATCAAGCATTTGATGCCGTTCACGGGTGACAATTTCGATGACGACGAGGCCCGTCTGGATTCGAGGACCAATCCTTCCCAACCCAGGGAGAATGATGGAGACGAGGCCGCATTGACGTATTTGCATAAATATGACAGTTTACGTGTCTAGCATATTTGTTTTTATTACTTTATTTCTCTTTTGGATTATTTTCTACTAGTAGTTGCAGTTGTATCATTTTTATTAGTTAGGGGGTATTTAGTTAATTATTAGGACTTATCATTTTAGGAAGTGGAGTTAGTGGAAATTCCTTATTTGTGTACTGGGATCAGAAGAAAAAACTGATCAGCGTTGAAATAAAAATTATTTGTTCTTCTTGTGAGTTCGTATTTCTCCCTTCGTATACATCCTCTACATCAGTTATTAAGACTAGATGTATTAAATATAGTTTATATAAGTATTAGTTCCTTTCTTTCTGCTAAGGAATATATATATATATATATATATATATATATAACTCTTATATCTCTTCTTCTATTCTGCTTCCATGCGATAGAGTCACAGAGCCTTTTCTTCTTCAATTGTTGACTCTAGAATTTATTTTCTTCTTCTTCTATCATCATCTCCTTTTTGGTTAAAATCGAGTTAGCCACAGAAATCCCGTTATCTCGCTCAGGCAGCGATCGAGCAAAGATGGCGACCTTCCATATCAGTGGCTCTCGTCGGAGAAGATGAGCAGCGGGAACCGTTTTCGACCAGCAAACCTCCTTTCTCGACGACATTAATGGCAGTCGCCGCTGCAAGGCATAACACCGCCGTGATCTCTGGCCAGCCGTCACCATGAGAAGCAACCAGTCATTGAGCCTTGCCAGCCGTAGCTGAAAAAAATTCTGGTTCAAGCTTCTTCCAGCGAACAGTAGCAGATGGGACGATGTTTAGCGGGCAGACCGTCATTGTGTTTTTTAGCCGGCGACCCTCCGACCACGTCAACCCTCTTCAGAAGCGGCCAGTTTCTTTTCTATTTCTCCCTCCCGGTGATGCTGAGCAACCTTATTTCATGCGGCAACTTCGGGAACCCCGTCGGCCTTGTTAAACGGGCCGAGCATTAACGTGAAAGCACCAGAAGAGAAAAAGCTGATCGATGCGTTTATTTCGTATTTCGAGGCTCTGAGTGTCTATTTTGAGAGGCTCGAGTTCGAGGGTGCATATTTGTAAAATAAAAGAAAAAGTCGTTTACGTGGGCCCCGCAAGGTCGCGTGTGACTTCGGTTTACCGAGAAACGAGTCGGGACGTGTAGACCTTTTTAGCATGATTCCATTCGAGCCATTTATCAAGTATTTTGGAGCTCCGAGCATTTATTTAGAGGAACCCGAAGTTTACGGGTGAATAGAAGAAAAATGAGCGAATTTGTCGAGGAAGAGTTTGAGCGTCCGAGGCTTCGTTTTTCTCGATTCTTTCAGTTTCTCGTCTATTTGAGAGGAGGTATAAAGCTTGACTATTTTCTTAGTAATTTCGAGTATTTAGGTCCAAGTCTTATTCCAAAATTTAAGTATTTTTCTGAGTCAAACCAATCCAGTATAAGTATATCAGTTTTATTTCCAGACTTAGTATTATTTTCAGTGAAACCTTAGAATGTTATACTATATTCGGATAAGTTATCTGATAAAGTCGAGCATCCTAGAATCTTATTGAGTATAACAAGTATAGTACTTAGTATATTTGTTTATATTTTTATGTAGCTTGCAGATACAGCTACCCCACACAGCACTTACAGTTTCAAAGGTTTTCGAAAGAAGAAAAGGTGGGGACCCAGCCTGGGCATTACATTGCTTATAATCTTGTACCATGTATGAGGTATGTATATAGATATTTACCTAAACGATGAAGTTTATTCCGTTCGTGGTCCAGTTAAGATAAATTTATCGCCCAGTCAAGACTGGGTTCTGTGGGAGGTAACCCCCAGAATATGTTCACATGATAATCCGGCTAGTCAAGACTGAGTTCCGGATGTTGCACCAGTTATAGTATAGTTTTATTTGTGTATATACTTAGTTCATGATATTGGATTATATGCGTTGTATATTCAGTATGGGTTTTTATGGAGTACAAGAAGATCAGTACTCACCCCCATTATGTTTTTCATGTAACAGGGTCGGTGCAGAGGTGTGAGCTGAGCATGGTGGTGGGGTTGTGGATTCAGAATGTTAATATTTACGATCACATTTATTTATACTGTCTGTATAATATGATGTTACATTTTTCAGATTTTCGCTACGCATTTCAAGTTTCGAACCTATATGTTAAGTATTTTCAGACTTACAGATTTTAACCAGTTCAACAGTATGAACATGGTTCAGTTTACATGCATATTTGATTAAATCTGTTTTCTTTATGTCTAAAATAACAGTCAGACCAAGTTTAAAGAAAAACAGATTTTTCAGAAAAGATAAATTTTTGTTTAACTACGATATCTCTCTCGATCCCCTTTCCTTCTCCCCAACCCTAAGCTCTCGATCCCCTTCAATCCGTATCAATTGGCCTTCTTTAGCGGCGATTGAGTACGAATCGGTGGTCGTCCCTTAGCCGTCTGGCCTCCGTCTGGCTTCACGAGTCGCCCTCGTTGCTCGATTTCAGGTAAGCTCTCATCTCTTGTATGGCGTCGGCTTTCAGTTGTCGGCTCACCTGTTCTTTTAATCGACTTCCTGGGTCGCGGCGATGGTGGTGTGGGTATGTTCGGTCGGGTGGGTGGGGCCTCGGTTGTTCGACGACGACGGCGTCGGACGGCCGGAGCTCCTCTGCGGTTTTCCAGCCCTGTTCCCCTTACTCTGGAGTTGGGTTTGGAGTAACCGGTGCTCTGTCTTCCAGCCAGTGGTGATGGCCGAGGAGGGGCAGTGGTGGGTGGAGGATTGTGGTGGCTTCGGGCTGTAGGGGACGTGGCTGCCGCCTCAGCATCTTCGTGGTTCCGGGGTTCATCGATTGTGGTTGGACTAGCTAGTGGTGTTAGGGAATCCGGTCACGTGGCGGTCCTGAGGCTTCTTGGGTGTTGTGGTAGTAGTTCGAGTCTGATTTTGAGTGTTGTTCTGAGGCTTGGATTTCGACTTCGTTAGGCCACTGAGTTGGTGTTGGGCAGTTTCGGGCCGGTCCTGTGGCTGTGGGATTCACTCGAGGTCGACTTGGTATCCACCGGCTCTGATTGGTTACGCTGCTTAGGAAGGGCTTTTCTTGTTTTGCTTCGTTTTTGTTTTATGTTGATATTTTGTTAGTTTGGTGTGGATTGTGTTTGTGTTTGTTTAGGGCATGTCTTTTTGGTCTGGGCCGTTGGTCCATGTGAGCCCGGGTGTCAACTTATTATCCTGTTGGGATCAGACACTTGGGTATTGTCCCGGTGGGATCTTTTTAGTTGTTTTAGTTTTTTAGTTTGTGTAGTGGGATTGTGTTGTTTGTGTAGTTGGATTGTTATTCTAGCCTTGCTAGTATCGGGACTCTAGGCGGTCTTCTGACCTGTCCTCCCACTTTCTCAGTCGTTGGCTGCTGTTCCATTTGTGTATTCGCACATTTGTGCATTTTGATTTATAATATAACCTATCGTTTCGGGAAAAAAAAAAAGAAAAGATAAATTTTAGTAGCATCCCGAGTTAAGCGCAAAAGATTTCGAAAAATTTATAAGTATTTTCGAATTAAAAGTTGCGAAAAATTTACTCTGATAAGCGGGGTGTTGCAAATAATGCACATGCCAAGGTTAGAGTGGAAGAGTTATGAAACAACCGTGTATGAATGGACTTAAAGTTAGCCCTTACTCCCTAACTTTAGTTTGGTGTGGATTGTGTTTGTGTTTGTTTAGGGCATGTCTTTTTGGTCTGGGCCGTTGGTCCCTGTGAGCCCGGGTGTCAACTTATTATCCTGTTGGGATCAGACACTCGGGTATTATCCCGGTGGGATCTTTTTAGTTGTTTTAGTTTTTTAGTTTGTGTAGTGGGATTGTGTTGTTTGTGTAGTTGGATTGTTATTCTAGCCTTGCTAGTATCGGGACTCTAGGCGGTCTTCTGACCTGTCCTCCCACTTTCTCAGTCGTTGGCTGTTGTTCCATTTGTGTATTCACACATTTGTGCATTTTGATTTATAATATAACCTATCGTTTCGGGAAAAAAAAAAAGAAAAGATAAATTTTAGTAGCATCCCGAGTTAAGTGCAAAAGATTTCGAAAAATTTATAAGTATTCTCGAATTAAAAGTTGCGAAAAATTTACTCTGATAAGCGGGGTGTTGCAAATAATGCACAAGCCAAGGTTAGAGTGGAAGAGTTATGAAACAACCGTGTATGAATGGACTTAAAGTTAGCCCTTACTCCCTAACAATGAGATAAATTACGAAATTCTAAACAAATTTATGTGTTGAACTCTCCTTTCTGTGTACTATTAAAAGATAAAAATAGAGTACTACTCATCAATGAATATTTTGTTTTATACAAAAGCGTATACAAGAGTGGACCACTATTCTGAACATAGCGTGACAAGTAAAACCCCGTTGCCTTAGGCATCATAAAAGAAGAAACTCATAATCATAACTATTCAACACTATTGACGATAATAGTCACCACTTTTTATTAGAGTTTTAGATTCAGGGAAAGATGGTGCAGTTCCATAGAGGTGAGCCTAGGTGCACCTTAATGAAAGGTTCCATTCTAAAACCAATTGGTGATGAGAGAAGTAGCCCACTAGGCTTATTTTCTCTATAAAATCAATATGGGACAACTGAGAAATGGTATTCTAACACGCCCCTTCACTTGTGAATCCTTCTCTGACCGTCCTAGATCATGCTCGGTTAGCAGAGAGAGTCATAACAAGTCCATCATTAATTTTCCATGTATTGATTACCATCATCGGTGTTTCATTTCGGTCCACCATAAGTCAAGTGGAAAGCTAAACCATAACCCTTCAATACATATTCCACAGAGAAATCTCACTCCCAATAATTTTGACCATCAAAAAGTGATATTTATGGAAATTGCATTGACTTGTGATATGATTGAATGCGTGGCAACGGATGAGAGGAGAGTAGCGCCTTCAAATGGTGACAAACAAAGGAAAACTAGACGACAATGTGATGTAGGTGTCAATTGATGGAATCCACTAATTTCAATGATTGACAATGGCATATGATTTCAAATTGTAATATTGATGTTGAATATCTTGAGTAAGGATAGGATGACAATATATTTTAATGGCTACTAAAACTAAAACTTTAGTGCTAATAACCACAGTAGTGATGATTATCACGAAATCCAGCTTTACTATCCTTGTAATAGATTTTTCGCGGGTTCTACAACATTTGAAATGAATGATAAGAGTGATAATAATGTTATATATACATATACATATTAATCACATAAAAAAACTGTAACTAATAAACTAGCACTCGCTTCAGCTCAATAGTTGATTGAGCCGATCAGCCATTACAAGTTTTAAAATTCATTGGCAGCTTGGCAATGCACTTTTGCTTTTCTGCTACACCACACCCAATTCCTTTGCTAGTTTGTCACACAACTGCGTAAAGATACCAAATGAAAATCCAGTCGAAGACCAACTACATGTATAGAAAAGAAGAAAGAAGAGCTCTGTTGAGAAACGGTTAACTACCTGTCTGTACACTGTAAGATCGCCATATGCTTTTCGCAACTCAACCACATACAAGGATGGACTTATTTCGAAAACCTATGATTAATTATATTATATATCAAAAGGCAAGCCGTAAACCTATGATTAGAATTTCACGTTGCAAATAATAATATAACTTACTTCCGCAGCCACTGAGAGGCATCCGGGGGCTCTCTGTCCTTTGCGCTCTACCAGTTGGCCTTGCAATACTTTCAACTGCGATTATTTAATACATACAAAAAAAAAAAAACATCTATTAGCGAATTCGTCGTCAGGCACTGTGAAGAAGTAACGAGCACAAGAACATAAACTAGTGAAAACTGACCTTTCCGTTTTTCTTTTGAACGTGAAATCCCATCTCTGTAACGGTTTTTTCGATCCTCTCCAGTAATTCTTTAGGAGAATAATTCGATGTAAATCTAATTTTCCTCTCGGAAATGTCCTGCGAATTAGTTACAAGTCGTTCATACACATTTTTTTAAATTCTTTTGTTTTAATAACAGTTACAACTCATATCAATATGCATACATCAATTACCTCTTTCTCAAAGAAGCCAGAAAGATCCAGACACGAGGACATTCCAATCAGCTGAAAAGCATTGATTAGAGTGGGCGAGTCGGGATCTCTTTCTGCATCCGAAGGCTTTATAACATATATCGAGATGTAAGTTTAATTATTGTAAGTTCATTCATAGAGAAAATAATAAATAGGGAGAAAGTACATATATACCGTCTCATGTACAGATGACACATCATCATCGGTGCTGGTATTTTCGTCTTCTTCTTCTTCTTCTTCTTCTTCCTCTTCGTCATCTGTATTAGGATCTAACGGTACATACCCTTGTTTGAACCACTCATCTTCTTTTATCTCTGACATTGTTATCCGTGTCTGAGGATTCGGATCCAAAATCCTCTTTATTAAGTTTTTTGCCCCGGAAGATAGCCATTTTGGAATCTGGGTTTCTCCCTTGAAAATCTGAAAATAAATTGAGGTTTGAAGTATATATAATCATTTTTTCTGCCCGATTTCTAAGGCTATGTTTGGTAGCCAAATAAGCTAGCTTATAGCTTATTTTGTTAGCTTATAAGCTTCTTGTATTTAAATAAGCCTCGTTTGGTGAGACAAAGGGCTCGAGCTTATCTAATAAGCTTCTTTAGGTAACTTTTCAAATAAGCTAGTTGAAAATTTTATTTCAGCTAGCTTATCAGCTAATTTTACCAAACACTTTTATCATATAAACTAGCTTTTCAGCTATAAGTCATAAGCTATAAGCTCGAAAATTACATATAGCTATCAGCTAGCTTATCAACTAGTTTTACCAAACATAGCTTAAATCCAACTACCTTAAAACTGTAATAAATGTGTATCTAAATAGTCATTGCATCAAAAGATATATATATTTTATAGGAATTGCTACCTTTTGATACAGTACTGCAAGGTTCCGGTCATCAAAGGGAAGATATCCAGTGAGAATTACGTATAAGATAACACCACACGACCATGTATCTGAGGCTGCACCATCATATCCTCTGTTTGATAAAATTTCGGGAGCAACATAGTTTGGACTTCCACAAGTCGTGTGCAATAATCCATCGTCCTAAAGTTAACATATATAAACAACT